GCTACGTGAAGCGCTTCCTAGACATCGCAGACTGTCGGGAGCGATGCCAACCGCCCTCGGAGCTGGACGCAGGCAGCGTGCGCTTCACGGTGGAGAAGCCCGACGAGAACTTTTCCTGTGCTTCCAGCCTCAGCGCGTTGGCCCTGCACGAGCTGTATGTTCAGCAGGACGTGGAACTGCGCCTGAGGCCACCAGCCTGCCCAGAGCGTGCAGGGGGTGGCGGGGGACACCCTCGGAGGGACGAGGCTGCCTGCCGCATGGACTGCCCAGCACCTGTTGGTTCTCGGGCTCGGTCTGCAGTTGATAAAGAATTGGAGGTACTGCGTGAATGTTTGGGAGCGGCCATGCCCGCCCGGCTCCGCAAGGTGGTCTCTGCCTTAGTGCCTGGCCGCCGCGCACTGCCAGTCCCCGTGTACATGTTAGTGCCGGCCCCGGCTGGGAACGATGACTCTGGCAGTGACTCCGCCGAGGGCACACCTGTCAACTTCTCCAGTGCTGCCTCGCTCAGTGATGAGACCTTACAGGGACCCTCCAGGGACAAGCCGGGAGGGCCTGGAGAAAGGCAGAAACCCACAGGCCGTCCCGGCCCTGCCCGGCAGGTCCGTGGGCACCGACCCAAAGCAACAGGCGCTGGTAAGAGTACAGAGCACACCCGAGGGGCGGGGAGGAACCGGGCACGATTGGAATTACCCCTCAGCAGGCCACAGAGTGCTCGATCCAACAGGGATGGCTCGTGCCAGCCCCGGACCCGTGGGGACGGCGCTCTGCAGTCACTGTGCCTCACAACACCCACAGAGGAAGCCGTGTACTGCTTCTATGACTCTGATGAGGAGCCCCCAGTCACGGCACCACCACCCCGGCAGGCGTCTGCCATCCCACGGGTTCTCAAGCGTGAGAAACCCACAGGCAGGAAGGAGACTCCATCCAGGGCATCAAAGCCTGCCACACCACCTGTGAGGGCTCAGCCCAGACTAATCGTGGATGAGACTCCACCCTGCTATTCCTCAGCTAGCTCCCTCAGTGAGCCTGAGGCCTCTGAACAGCCAGCCAGCCATCCCCGAGGCTGGGAACAGGCAGCCACCAAGGACCCAGGCCTGGGCAGTAAACGGGACAGCTCTCCTAGCCCCAGAGCAGAGGAGGAACTACTGCAGAGGTGTGTCGGCTTAGCCCTGCCCAGGCGCCGAACCCAAGTTCCCGGCTTGCGACGTCGCAAGCCCAGAGGTGCCCGGTCCGAGGTGCCGACCACTGAGATACCCCGGAAATGCCGTGAGGAGGTACCTGGCTCTGATCCAGCCTCTGACTTAGACAGTGTTGAGTGGCAGGCCATCCAAGAGGGTGCGAACTCCATCGTCACGTGGCTGCACCAGGCGGCAGCCAAGGCCAGCCTGGAGCCATCTTCTGAGTCTGACTCCCTCTTGTCTCTGGTGTCCGGGATGTCAGCAGGCTCCACTTTACAGCCCTCGAAACCCAGGAAAATGCGAAACTCTGGGGCGGAGGCTAGGGGTGTCTGGCGTCCAGAGAAACGGGGTGCAACTTCCACCAAGACCAGTGGGAGTCCACGGTGTCCTAGTGGCCCCGAGAAGCCAAAGGGTACCCAGAAAATGATGACAAGGGAGCCAGGAATGCTCCGGGGACGGACGGTGATCTACACAGCCAGCCCAGCCTCCCGGGCTCAGTCCAAAGGAGTTTCCGGCCCTTGTGCCACACCTAAGAAGATGGGAACATCTGGAACCACTCAGCCAGAAACTGCCACCAAAACCCCCAGCCCTGGACAGCAGCGTTCACGGAGCCTCCACCGGCCAGGTAAGATCTCAGAGCTGGCAGCGTTGAGCCAGCCACCAAGGAGTGCGACCCCTCCAGCCCGCCTCGTCAAGACGCCATCCTCAAGCTCCTCACAGACCTCGCCAGCTTCCCAGCCCCTACCCAGGAGGTCTCCTCTGGCCACTCCAACTGTAGGGCCTCTGCCTGGCCCTGGAGGGTCCCCCGTGCCCAAGTCACCGGCCCGGGCCCTTTTGGCTAAGCAACACAAGACCCAGAAGTCACCTGTTCGGATCCCATTCATGCAAAGACCAGTCAAGCGAGGGCCACCACCACTGGCCAGGCCATCCCCAGAGCCTGGACCCAGGGGAAGAACGGGGGCCGAGGGGGCTTCTGGAGTGCGCGGTGGTCGCCTGGGCCTAGTGCGCATAGCCTCAGCCCGCTCCAGTGGCAGTGAGTCCTCAGACCGCTCAGGCTTCCGCAGGCAGCTGACCTTCATCAAGGAATCCCCGGGGCTTCTTCGTCGCCGCAGATCGGAGCTGTCCTCTGCGGACTCCACAGCCTCCACCTCCCAGGCTGCTTCTCCCCGCCGCGGACGGCCTGCGCTCCCTGCTGTCTTCCTCTGCTCCTCTCGCTGTGATGAGTTGCGGGCGTCCCCACGGCAGCCCCTGGCGCCACAGAGAGCTCCGCAGGCCAAGCCAGGTCTTGCTCCACGTGCGCCCAGGCGCACCAGCTCCGAGAGCCCCTCCCGCCTGCCTGTGCGGGCACCTCCCGGGCAGCCTGAGACAGTCAAGCGGTATGCGTCCCTGCCACACATCAGCGTCGCCCGCAGGCCAGATAACGCTGTCTCTGTGCCCACCATCCATGCCAATACCACTCGCCGGGGAAGTGATGGAGAGACCAGGCCACTGCCCAGGGTGGCTGCACCTGGTACCACCTGGCGTCGTATCAAAGATGAAGATGTCCCCCACATCCTTCGTAGCACACTGCCTGCCACTGCCCTGCCCCTCAGGGGTCCATCACCTGAGGACAGCCCTGCTGGGACTCCACAGCGCAAGACCAGTGACGCTGTGGTGCAAACAGAAGATGTTGCCACCCCCAAGACCAACTCCAGCACTTCACCCAGCCTGGAAAGCAGGGACCCCCCTCAGGCTCTGGCCAGCGGCCCTGCGGCTCCATTGGGCAGTGATGTGGACGGGCCAGCCCTCACCAAGCCCCCTGCCTCAGCGCCCTTCACCCACGAGGGCCTGAGTGTGGTCATGGGGGGCTTTCCCACCAGCAGGCATGGGTCCCCCAGCAGGGCTGCACGAGTTCCCCCCTTCAACTATGTGCCCAGCCCTATGGTGGTGGCCACAGCGGCCAGCGACTCTGCTGTGGAGAAAGCCCCTGTTGCCTCTCCAACCAGCCTCCTGGAGTAGTGGGTGTAGGCCAACCTTCTGGAACATTCTCTCTTTGCCCCATGGCCCAGTCTGGGGGCTTGCTCTCCAGATGCCCTGAGTAGGCACAGCTGTGCCCTCAGAGCTCTGTCCAGCTCACATCTCTCTGCACCTTAGAGCCAGCCCTTGCTTCTATGCCTGGGGCTTGAGGGGATCGGCTGTAGACAGGCCACAGGGCACACAGCACCATTTTCTGAGGGACAAGAACTGTAGGCACTACAGTTACAGTTACAGTGTAGGCTGCACCCAGTGGGTGGGCTGGCACGGGCTGTGGTGAGGGTAGTGAGATCCTGGCAGCTGGCGCTACCTCAGCCCTGCACTGCTAAGCCTGTAATTAGTGCTGGGGTAATTGGTTAATGAGGACTCTGCCAGGCGTGTTTGCCTTCCCAGAGGCAGCTGGAGTGCTGGGTGAGGGGCGGAGCCAAGCTGTTCACCAAGCATCCCTTCATCGTGGCTGCGGAGAGATCGCCCAGGGTGACTCTGGGGACCTGCTAACCCCGTGTCCCTTCACTATCACAGAGGAGGGACTAGCTAGTGTCTGCAGGGAGGAGCCTGGTCCTTCCCATGGAAGTGTCAGGGTGTAGGATCCGCATCCCTGGCTCACCCAGTCTGGAATCCAGGTGGGAAGCCTGAACAGGGATCAAGATGGAGGCTGATAAAGACCCGAGGTAGGCAGGCATCTGAGGACCCAGGCTTTGGGTGTGTCTTCCTGCAGAGAGCACCGACAACCTCTCCCCTGTGGACCTGTAACCACGGCCATCGGCAGGAAGTGCTCCCAGAGAAGGACACTGTTCCTTGAGCTGGCCTCAAGCCCCTGCTGAGGGAAGTGGTTTTAAGAAAGGTTCTGGGAAGGACCACAGACGCCGCTGTCCTCCCCACGTCCTTCTTGTGGCGGGGGAGTTGACAGATCCACGATCATCATTGCCATCACACCTGGGTACACTGACAACTAGGGGCACCACTAGGGCCGACTCCACAGTGCTGCTGGTCCAGTCCAGAGATGCCTGGCATTTTCCTGGCTCAGGGCTCCGCCCCTAACCTGTTGGGGACACGCCACAGCAGGAATACCAGGTACCAAGTCTTCAACCCCAGGACCTTGCCTGCTGGACAGGGCTCCGGCAGAGCCCCCAGTCTGGCCTGTGGGGGACTGGCAGGGAGCGGCTAAAGCAGCAAGGTGACTCTGAGACCCCAGCTCATACCCACCATGCACCCTAGGGTGCCCCCGTGGTGGGACACAGCAGGAGACAGATGTCCAGCTGGGGCTGGAGAGGGGGAACCTTATCTGCAGACTGAACCTGTAAACCATGCACTGTGAGACCCCAGGGGGAGCAGAGGCTGGACCATGGTGCCAGCACGCAAGGCCCATCATTCTTCTAGCCTCCTGTCCTGTCGGCCATGTTTGCCTTCTCCACCCCACACAGTGGGGGACACACAAGCTATGGAGCAACATCCAGACCAGGGTAGGTAAGAGCTGGAACAGTGGCTTCTGAAGGGTTAACCAAAGCCAGGGGGCGGGGCTAGTCCGCCTCTGGAGTGTCCTCTGTCCTCCAGGTTGGCAATGGCTACAGGCACCATGAGCTGGAGACCAGTGGTCCACTGGGTGCTTGAACAGGGCAATACGCCCGATTACCTCACCTCCTGTCCTGTCTTTCACACTGTCCGGCGGCCAGTGTCATCCCCCTGCTCACATCTGGCTGGTTTGTCCTCTGCCGCGGCCCCACCTCTGTCCTGTCCTACTGGGTTAATATTCTGTACATACTGACCCCCAACCCCATGTACACAACATGACAGGACACCCAGCCTCGCTTCTGGTTCTCGTTCACATCTTTAATAAAGCAAGCCATTGAGTCGCTCTGGGTTATTAATCTTCAACACGGACTCTGGATGGGGGAGGTCATTCTAGAACTTTCTACTGCAGCCACAAGGCGCTGGTGCATGGGCCTAAGCTCCCTGCAGACAGACACATGCTAGAGCCAAGGTTGAGTCAGGTCAGCCAAACCACACCTGGCCATTTGCTTTTGGCCATCAGCCACTGACCACCTGTGGAGGTGGGGATCCGGGAACCCAGAGAAAACAGTGACCACTAGGAATGGGAATGGCAGGAATAAGTCACAAGCCAAGGCCATTTGGGACATGAGGAGGCATGTGGGGTGGCCAGCGCCTAAGGCGCAAAGGGGCTGAAGTGGACTTGGGCCCCAGTGATCCAGGGTCCAGCTCACGGAAGGCGGGCGTTGAGACCCAGAATGAACTCTCTGATGTTCCAAAAACAAAGCCTGCCCACTCCAGAGCAGCAGGTCGTCAGCAAGGTCAACTGAAGCTCCAGTCCAGAGGGTAATGTCCACCCCAGAAGGGTCCTGTGGGTGCCCAGCTGAGCCTGCAGGACACAGGCCCCCACAGAGATCCGTGCACTGTCACCCTGCCTTTGGGCTCCTCCCGTATTCCTGGACTCCCCAGAATGAAAACCCCCTAGCCAAGTTCCCTCCGCACAAGGGAGATGGGACCAGAGAGCAGGCAAGATGGCAGGACCCAGGAGGACCCGAGCCAGAAGGAGGTAGTCAACCACGGTGAGGCTGGACATACAGGTTCTGGCCTGCTGCAGATGTTGGGGATGGAGACCCTCGCTGCCCAGGCCAACATGAAGCAGGAAGTAGGAGCAGAGGGCTGGCCACTGTGGGGCAGGTTGGTTCTGAGCCCTGACCTCCGCCAAGTCCTAGACACCACCCAGGCTGATGCCCCCATGAATGAGGCCATGCCCGTAAGTCCCACCCCAACTTTGAGGCCATCAAGGATGGAAGAGGGAACAAGGGCTCAAAGTCTGCCAAGGGAGCCAGTGCTGAGGCAGCAGATGGTGACAAGGGGCCCGGCGCCTTGTCTAGGGGCCCTCCTTGTCTAGGAGGTGGCTGAGGTCACCCGGCTGACATCCTGTTCTAACCTCTCATCAGCCTGCCGAAGGTCCTCGAACTTCTGCCTCAGTGTGTCCCCCGCCTGCTGCAGCCTCTCGTTCATGGCCACATAGGCCCGGCTCTGTTGGTAGAGCTGCTCGAGCCGGGCCTCAGGGTCCTCGGCCCTTGGAGATAGATCTGGGGGTTCTGGAGAGGAGAAACGGTGGTCAGGGGTTGGAAGTCATCCTTGGCTACACAGTGAGTTGGAGCCCTGCATGGGCTACATGAGACCTGTCTAGGCCCTAGAAAATAGTCAGGTCTGACAAAACCCCATGCTTCAGGAGTCACCGAGAGGACAGGACCGTTGCTGTCCCACCCAGGACTGCTTGGGTTCTTGGATTCTAGGGGAATCGCAGAAAACAGCCCCCGCACGTATCGTTTCCTCAGATTTCCACGTAGGAGCCACTGGGGTGGGTTTTTTTTTCCTTTTTCCCTTTGAGACAAGGTTTGAACTCACAGCAATCCTCCCGCCCCTGACTCCTAGGTTGGCTTAAGTCATCAAGCTCGCCGGCCCTTCACCTTTGCTTCTGGTGACGCACTTGACAGAGTCTGAGAGGGTCGCTAACAGAGATCGTCCCTGGGCCCTGGCTGCAGTCAGGTTTGCTCCTACCTTCTGGGGTCAAGGCGGTGAAAACAGGGTCGTTGGGGGGCGCCCCTCGCACGTCCTCCAGGATCTGCTCCACCGTGGGCGGCGCGGGGCGCGTGGGCAGCACCACGCGTTTCTTGCCTTTGGAGCTCATCGTGCAGGCGGAAGAGCGCGCGCTGGCAGCAGGTCCGCTCTCCACTTGGCCTTCCCACCCCGCGAACCTTTATGCACCCGTTACGGCCCTGTGCCGAGGCCCTTTCCTCGTCTCGCCTTCTCCTCTCCCGGGGTCTCAGAGTTTGGTTTAAACCCGGCCTGACTGAACCTCCTAAAACCCCTACTCCAAATCGCCACAACTTCCGCTTCCTGTTTGAGCGCCGCTCCGTTCTTGCACTTCCGGTCCTCTCCAACTCCGCTCCTCGGGAAACACTTCCCCGGTCTTAAAGAGCCCTAGGCCTAGACGTTCCTAAGAGCAGTCTAAAAGGATCAAAGGCTTTCCCTGACCACAAATGGCAAGAGGCGCGAGTGCTGAGCGTGAGTTCGAGTCCCCCTGGCTGGGCAGAAACTAGGAGTCAGTGTCTAACCACTGCCAGGTACACAGTGGGCGCTCAATAAATACTGGGTGGTGCCTATCCACAGGGTAACATGTTCCAGGGACCTTGTTTCCTTGTCCTGAGTGGTAGCGCATGCCTTTAATCCCAGCACTCGGGAGGCAGAGACAGGCGGGTCTCTGAGTTCAAGGCCAGCCTGGTCTACAGAGTGAGTTAATTACTCAGTCTCGAAAACCAGCACCAACAGCAACGAAAGAAAGGAAAGGGAGAAAAGAGCTAGTCCTCTGCTCGTGGCTGTGATATCTCAGCCAGTCGTCTGCTCGTGGCTGTGGTATCTCAGCCAGTCCTCTGCTCGTGGCTGTGGTATCTCAGCCAGTCCTCTGCTCGTGGCTGTGATATCTCAGCCAGTCCTCTGCTCGTGGCTGTGATATCTCAGCTAGTCGTCTGCTCGTGGCTGTGATATCTCAGCTAGTCGTCTGCTCGTGGCTGTGATATCTCAGCTAGTCGTCTGCTCGTGGCTGTGATATCTCAGCTGGTCTGCTCCTAGTCTTCTGCTCGTGGCTGTGCGGAATCTCGGCACTGGGATGGGAGGTGGGCTGTACTTTGGCCCAGGCTCTCTCCTCCCACCGGGGTTCTCTGGGCCTGGAGTAGTCTTTTTACTCCCTTTATTTCTCTTTAGTCCTCCAGGGGCCCTTGTCTTATTTGGGTGACCCTGGGCACCCCTACCCTGAAGGACACCACAAACTTGACATCTATTAACTTTTATTTGCCAACTATGAGGTCAGACATGGGGCTTGTGGACAGTTCTGGACAGGAAGGGACAGAAGGTTAGTGGCTGTGGTTTGACCTCTGTCCACTGCACCCCTTGTCCTGCTCCAAAATGCGTAAGGAGACACCTCTTCCACTGGGAGTAGCCATGCCCACGCAGTGGGCTGCTGCTGATCTGCCAAGGCCTTCTGGGGCAGGGTCCTATTCCAGCCTAGGAGTGGGGCCTAGGGGTACCACCCTCTGTTCTTTGAGTCAGGCATCTCTGGTTTCCCAGCCTTCAGGGTCTCGGGCATTGGGGTGTCTAGCCTAGGGTGGGTGGGCCTTCCTCAAGCCGAGAGGGGTCTCCTGAAGGCCCTGGCCAGCCGGGCCAGCACCATGGCCCAGGACTGGTAGCTGGGATGGCCGCCAGAGGTAGCAGGCCTTGGAGGAGCCCTGGAGCTCGTCCAGCATGAAGGACAGGGGACAGGCAGCATAGCTGCTGGTCAAGCTGCCTCAGCAGGTGTAATAGGAGGGTGACAGTTGACCTGTCTCTCGGTCACTGGCTGCGCTGTGTGGCTGTAGAGCCACCACCACTCTCAGCTAGAGATGAGGCAGAGCCAGGCCAGGATGGTGGAGGAACTGTGGCTTTCTGTATGGGGCAGAAGGGAGACAGGGATGAGGCTGCAGCTGGAGGTACAGTCAGTGCCCACCCGCCCATCCCGGGGCCGCTGCGCCTCCTCCCCCAACAAGTGACCATGCGCTGCGGCCACTCACCCTGGCGCAGCCCCTCTGTGTCCCTCTGCACACACGCGCGGCTGGTCACCTGGGGGCCCTGAGGCCGCGCGGTCATGTCCTCGGCCGTCCCATACAACAGCAACGTGTAGTAGAACAGAGTTCCTGGGCAGGGGTCACGGGGGTCACGGTGGGCACCAAGGGGGACAGGCTGTCAGCAGCCTGCCAGGCTCTGTAGCCAGTCTCAGTGGCTCCCACCCAGGGCCCCATGTCAGCTGAGCCTGGCTGCTATCCACCTACTGTGCCAGTGGCTGGAGGCCCTCACTTCCTCAGGACAACTGCACCTACTGTGTGCTAGTATCTGGACTCCCCAGCTTCCCAAGGAATGTGCTAGTGGCCAGACCTCATCATATCCCTCAAGTGGATAATACCTTGTTGTTTACCCCTGGTCAGACCACCCCCGTGATTCTTCCAGGGTTTTGCACACCTACTGTGTACTGATAGCCAGATTTCCCTCCTTTCCTCAGGTGACTGCACCTACTGTGTGCCACTGTGCTCAGACCCCCACCACCATACACTTCCTTCAGGGAACCTTATACCTACTATGCACCAATGGCCAGATCCACACTTCCCCCATGGTAGTACACCTACTGTGTGCCAGTGGCCAGAGCCTCCCTCCCCCATATTGCCCTACTATGTACCGGTGATTGGGATTCAACCATCCTCTAGGTAACAACACCTGCTGTGTGCTAAAGTAACCATTACATGGTCTCTCCAAGAAAACCTCTGGGTTGTGGGACCTGTACCTGTAGGTCAACCAAAACAGAGTCCCCAGCCTGGCAGACACAGCCCGGCAGGCACAGTCCAGCAGGCACAGCCTGGCAGCAGCCCACTCTCTCACCTGTGTTAAAATAGTAGCCCTTGTTCTCCAGACCCAGGGTCCACAGGCCCTGTGGGTCCTCATCCCAATAGTGGGTGGACATGAAGATCCAGTTCTTGTAGCCTTGGCTGCTGATATCCAAGGGTCTGAGGACAAAGGGTGGTACGGGAGAGACAGGAAGGTGGTGGTAACACGTCTCTTCTGAGTCCCACCCGCGTAGGGTACCACCTGCAGGAGGCTAGGCAGGGCTCCACTCGCCCACAGGGTCCCTTGGGAGGATTTCACACCTGATGGCCACGAGCGTGGAGCGCGTGCCCATGGGGCTGGTGAGCGAGATCTCCAGGTCCCCGCGGCGGCTGTAGGAGAGGGACAGCTGGACCTGCACGTGCTCGAGCGAGCGGATGAGGCGGTGCGAGCCGTCGGAGCACGCGGACACGTTCTTCCTCACCAGCATCCGAGGCAGGATGGAGCTGGTAAGGTGAGGACGGTCCTGGGGGCCTGCCGTGGGCCGGGTGGCGCCCGGAGGCGGGTCTGGGTGGGGGGGTCGAAGGACCTGAGGGCACTCTCCTTCTTTAGATGGGTAAACTGAGGCTTTGGGACATTTTTCCTGCCTTGGACTAGGGTGAGGAGGTAGGGGAGGAGGGAGGCTGCAACATCGGGCACGGTTGGACCAGCCTCCTTGGAATGTGGGAGGGGCCTCCCTCCTGTGGGTGTGACTGGGGCTTCCCCTAGTGGGGCAGGGTGGGGGCGGAGCCTTCCTCACGTTGGGGTGTGCACCACCCGAATGGCACATTTCTTCTGTGGCTGCGTGGGCAGCCACACGCGAGCCAGGTCCACCAGCAGCCCTGCGTCCAGCAGCCCGTAGCCGTAGTGGTGGCTCACTGCGCGGGAGGGGTAGCCGTCACTCGCCCTGCATGCACGGCGCCCCGGTCCTCTCCCTGGCCCCGCCGCACCTTGGCGCCCCACGCCGTTGATCCTCCAGTCCTCTGCCTGCAGCTGCGCCGGCCTGGACGCGCGGACCACCAGGTGCTGTAGGTCCCTCCAGGTCAGGAGCGGGCTGGGGGGGCGAGGGCGGGTGAGCCGGGCGCCGCCCGTGGGGGCGGGGCGGTGGGCGGGGCCCCACGGTCACCTACTTGGCCTCCAGAGCCAGAGCGATCATGCCAGCGGCCAGCGGGGCGGAGGCCGAGGTGCCCGTGTGTTTGTCGGTACACTGGTGGTGCAGGTCCGTGGTGACCTGGTGACAGACAACAGAGGGATCTTGAGCCCAGTGCGCGGCCCAGATGGAGGATTTGTTTGGAAGGTACTGGGGACTAAGTTCACAAAGTGCTGAAGATTGAGCTAAGTATGAAGACACCGAGGACTAAGCTCAAAAGGTACTAAAAGCCCCAGCCAGGCCTGGTGATGCAGGTGCTCAAACCCAGCACTTGTGGAGCTGTGGCAGGCGTAGCTGGGACTTCCAGGCTAGCCTGGTTTATGTATGGTGAATACGAATGACTAAGTTTAACAAGTACTGAGGACTGAGCTCAACAATTACTAAGGGCCGAGGTTTAAAACTGCTAAGGACTAGTTTCCAAAACCACCGAGCATTGAGTTCATAATGATACACGGCCCTACATCTCCAAAAAATACCAAAACCAGACCGGCTGTGGTGGCTCACTCCTTTAATCCTAGCCCTTGGGAGGCAAAAGCAGGCAGATCTCTGAGTTCAGGACCAGCCTGGTCTACAGAGCGAGTTCCAAGACCGCCAGGGCTATACACAGAGAAACACCAGTGTTTGACTCGAAAACACCAAGAAAAGAAAAAGTGCCGAATTCTGAGACTTAGTCTCAGCAAGTGCCCGAACCCTGGTACTTGGCCCTGGTTCTTCAATCTGGGGGACAGAAATGCTGAGGCAGGAACCACAATTGCAGACACCAGGTGGGTAGGGGCGAGGTGAGTGACGTGTGGCGTGCGAGACCTGGGATGCAGAGGCACTGGCGCGGATTTTGCCCAGGGAGGCAGAGGAGTTGCTAAGTGGGCCGACATGGTTGCGTCTAGTTTGGAAGGGGATCGGAGGGGCTGTGAGGGTGGGGAGGAGCAGGCCTGTGTGGGCTAGGTCTTGTGGAGTGGGGCTTGCTTTGGGGGGGATTGGTATCAGGTGAGATGGGCCGTCTGCCAGGTTGAAGCCTGGGGGCGGGGTCTGGTGAGGTCTATACGGGGGCGGGGCCTGTGCTGCGGGTTTGGCTGGGTGCTCACGATCTGTGGGTCGGTAGCCACTCCGCTGCTGAAGGTGGTGGTGAACGTGGAGGCGCAGGCCTCGCTGTACCAGGGCACTTGACCCTGCCGCGTGGTGCTGCCCACTGACAGTGTGTGGATGCTGTTGGTGTAGCCGTCACAATTGCAGTTGTCGTAATGGAGGCCACCGTTTCCCGAGGCCCAGATGAACAGTGTACCCAGTCCTTGGCGGCCCTGCGTCGGGAGTGACCCAGGAGAAGTAGTCAGCCCTTCAACCTCAGGGTTGGGGCCCCTCCGCCCACGGTGCGCTCTCTGTGCACCTTGGTCACGCCACGCCTGAAGGCCTCCCGAGTGAGGATGCCTGGTCCGTCCACCGTGCGACCATCATCCTCGGGCCCCCAGCTGGCGCTATAGATGTGTATGTGCTGCGGCTGCAGGCTGAGGGACTGCGCCTCCACGATGTCCGTGATGGTTCCATCCAACATGCGCACGCCTGCACGGGTGGGCGTGGGCCTTGCACCAGCACCAACACTACCTGCCCCACTAGGCCACCTCCCTGCCACCTTTTATTCACCCTCAGCTTGGGGCTTGGTACCGCCCAGCAACCAGTGGTGGGAACCGGGGAGGGGTTGAGAGTGGTGTTCCTCTATTGATCAAGCTTATCCTCAGATCCCCCAGCCTCCACCCCTGGTACCTCCAATTCTGGCGTTGAAAGCCACACCAGCACCACAGAAGCCATTGTTAGCTGTGGCAGACACCTCCCCAGCGCAGCGGGTCCCATGCCTGATTCCAGGGCAAGGAGGAAAGTAGTCAAGTGTCATAGCCCACCGTGGCACTTCTGCCGGCTGAGGGAATCCCTGGTACAGCAGCGCCTAGCTTACCGGTTCTCATCGCTGGGTGTGTAGCGAGGCTGGGGGTCTGGGTCATAGTCATTGAAGTCATAGCTGGCCAGAGGGTCCTGGAGAGCAGGCAGGGAAAGAAAGATGGAAATGAGGTGAGCCTGATTGGATCTGGGGACGGGCCCTGCTGCCCAGACACCTGGAGGGCTCACATAATTATATATACAGTGTTCTGCTTGCACGTAAACCTGCAGGCCAGAAGAGGGCACCAGATCTCATCACAGATGGCTGTGTGTCACCTTGTGGTTGCTGGGAATTGAATTGGGGACCTCTAGGAAGAACAGTCAGTGCTCTTAACCTCTGAGCCAGCTCTCCAGCATAAGTACTTACATAATTAGCCCAGAGGTCTGGGTGGTCCTTCTCAATGCCGTCATCCAAGATGGAGATCACCACTCCCCGGCCGGTCAGTCCCTGGTTCCAAACCTTCAGAATGTTGAGATCTGGCTGTATCTCGTTGTTCTAAAACAGACCAAGATGAACCTGGGGTCAGTGGGGTTCAAGCTGGCCCCCTGTCCACTCAGTCCAGCCCAAGTGCTTACCATGTACCACTGCTTGGAAAACCAGGGGTCCGTGGGCACCACCAAGGAGCGCTTCACCCGCCGCTTCAAAGTCTGTTGCTCAAACCACTGCACCTGCAGAGGGACACGGGTTGTGCTGGATCATCACCACCTCTAGGGCTATGGGAATGTAGGCAGGAGGGCTGTGAGCCTCCATGGAGGTCCTTGCTGAGAGACAGGAATGTTGGCTTGAACTGCTCTTTGGGTGCCCATCAACCTCAAGCTGTGTGATCGGAAACTGCTGAGGCCCAAGGATGCAGCGTGAAGCCACTGGGGACGGGTGTGGGTCTTCTGGTCCCCACCCCACTCCTTCCTGGTTCTAGATCCTTCTTGCTGAGTCCTGCTGGCTCCCTCCTGCGGCACTAGTTTTTGTTTTGAGACAAGGTCGCATGGCTGGCCTGGAAATCACCGTGGAGACTAAGCTGGCCACCTTTGCAATGCCGACGTCACTCCCAACCCAGCAGAACTTTGGAAATCCACCACTTAAACACACTTTCTGGGTCAGGACACCCCGACACCATGACAGTTTCCACTGCCTTCATGTGTCTGTTCTCTTGTTTTTCATTTGTTCTCTCTCTCCCTCCCTCTCCCTCTCTCTCTCCCTGTTCCCTTCTCTCTCCCTCTCTCCCTTTCCCTTCCTCTCTCCCTCTCTCACCCTCTCTCTCCCTCTATCTCTCTCTCTCCCTCTCTCTCTTCCCTCACCCCTCCTCTGTGTGTGCGTATATGTGCACCATAGCCCATGTGGACGCCAGAGAACTATGGGGGCTGGAAGATGGCTCAGCAATGAAGAGCACTGGCCACTCTTGCGGAGGACCGGGGTTCAATCTCCAATGTCTACATGGAGGACCGGGGTTCAATCTCCAATGTCTACATGGTGGCTCACAAGCACCCGGGACAGGTTCCAAGTAGATCTTGTGCCCTCTTCTGACCTCCTCAGCACCTGCATCTGTCCGTGGTACACAGACAAGCAGGAGAAACACTAATACACATTAGTCAAAAGAAATACACATTTAAAACATGTAAATCTTATAAAACCATGGGAGCCAGTTTTGTCTTTCCACTCTGTGGATCTATGTCTGTCTCTGTTTCCTGAGGTAGGGGCTCATGTAGCTAAGGCTGGCCTTGAACTCTCTGTGGCTAGCCTTGAAATCCTGACCCTCTGCCTCCACTTCCCTAGTGCGGGGATGACAGGTGTGAGCTCTCATGCCTGGTTGAAGTGCACTGACTGGGACCCGGGACTGCCTGCTTGTTGAGCAAATGCTCCACCCACTGAGCCTCAGCCCGTCGTGTCCGTGCCCCCCACCCACGCCTGGTCCAGCATCACCATATCTATGGCCCCTCTGGCAGTCAGCCTGCTCCTCACTGAGCGAGGGCCTTAGCATATTCTGCTCTGCCAATACCAGCTCAAGTCCCCTTCTCCTCACACCTCCTTACCTCCTTCTTACTCTCATGAGCCACGTTCTCCTGTCCATCCACCCATCCAACTCATCTCATCTCTTTGCCCTATTCCTCCCATTTGTCTCCATTCTCTTCTGGCCTCTTACAGCTCTTACAGCTAGTTTACAAATGTGTGGCCTTGTTTGAGAAGGAATGTCACTGGGAGGCGGGTGGAAGGCTCTGAAGTGAATTTCCCGGTTAGCTCTCTCTGCCCCCTTTTGTGAATGAGGATGCAGGCTATCAGTCACTGCCCCAGAGTGCCAGCCTGCTTGCTTGCTGCCATGTTCCCCTACATGGTGGGCATAGACTCACCCTCTGATGCTGTAAGCTCTAATAAACTCTTCCTTCTCTAAGCTGCCTTGGTTGTGGCATTTCTGTCACCGCAATAGGACAGTAACTCAGGCAGTTCCTGGTGCTGAAGGTGAGCACATCTTCGGTGTATCTCGTAATCATATATGGCTCACACTGCCACAATTCCGTGCCAGTTCCTTGAATGCCATCTACGGGCTGTTCCCAATGGAGGACTGGCCTAATGTGGATGCTTCCTAGAGAAGCACCTGAAACACCACGGGCTCTGCGCCCAATTCGCCGCACACTCATCCACTCCAGGTTCTTCTCTTGGGCACGGTTCCTTCCCTATATCCTATGGCTTGGAGTGGGAAGGAGCAGCATGAGAAGAGTCTGTCCTTGAGAAGCTGGGCAGGGGCCCTCAGTAAGAGCTCCCCCACAAATGCCGTGTTGTGGTAGGTGCCATGCTACATGACTTCCCCAACCAGGTCCCACTTCACAAACCTACGGGTCACTCATAAAAACGAGAATGACAGAAGGTGGCTTGGTTGGCCTTAGGAGATGGCAAACAGGGGCGCACTCACATTGGGCTCTTTCTTTAGGCGCAGACGGTGGCCCCAGTGTGGGGTCAGGGACTGCTGGGCCACACCCCGGTGTCGTAGATGGAAATACTGGTCGTCAGGGAAGATCTGGGAATGTGATGGACAGAGGCATTGCTGGGACCTGGCTCCTTTGATGGAGTCCCCAAGAATGGCGTGCACTCTCCGGGGCATTATAGGCCTCGATGTGGTGCTCAGATGAGGGTTGCAGGATCCCGAATTGAACACGGAGGGGCATACAGACACGTTCTTCATATCTGGGGAGATCTTGGGAACCTCCCTCCCATATGTCTAGATCTGCGGTCCTTAAGGTCCCCACCCCAGGTCCCATCCATCCAGGTCCCACCCACCTGTCCCAGGTTGACGAAGCCAAATTTACGTGCCAGGCGCTCAGCCTCCTGGTAACCTTTGGTCACCCGCACGGCCCAGCTGCTGACATAGATGGGGGCCCAGGCTGAAGCCCACCCCACAGCCAGGAGGGCCAAAGCCAGACCCAGCCACAGCGCGGTCGGGAAGGGCCGCATAGCGGGGGGCGGGGCGGGGGGCGGGGCCTCAGGAAGCCACCTCATCCCTGACACCATAGCAACCCAGATTCTTTCAGCTCCCAAGGAGCCTTGCGGTTCCCTCTGCCCCCACCCAGGAGGGGTAGGAATATCCCACATGGAGAGACATCCAGACAGACCTAAGCGTTCGTGAGCCTCAGTTTCCCAATTTATACAAGGACAATCCCTCCACCTGGCCTAAGGAGCAGTTGCAAGATCACAGGGGCACCCTCAACCTTTTATTTGGCCCCGCCCACTTTTCTCCACGCCCCTCCTTCGAGAATCAGCCCTGCCTCCGCACATCTTCCAATCAGCATCGTGTGATCCAGTGTAGTCCCCGCCTCCTTTGTGATAAACCCCGCCTTCTGTGGTCTGTCCAATCAGCGCTGTCTTTAGCCGGGTTCCGCCCACCTGTTCCTCATCTAGCTCCACCCACCTCACCGCTCTTCGTCAATAATCTACGACTTGTCCAATCAGTACCGTGCCACTCCCTCTTGACCAATCAACGCACAGGCAGCCTGGGGCCCCGCCCCCTTCGGCGTCCTCATGATCCGGCCGGCCTCCGCCCTGGCCAGAGGGCAATGCGGCGGGGGAAACGGGGCAGGCCCCACCTCCTTTGTCCGCCTTGCCCTCCTATTGGCCAGAGTCGGGGGCTGGGGGCGGAGCCAGGGCGGGGGCCCGAAAGTAGCGGGCCGGGGGCGGGGCGGGGCGGCGCGCGGGAGTCGAAGGCTGTTCGCCCTCGGCGAAGCCGGTGCGCGAGGCTGCGAGTGTGCTTGAGCGGCCTGCCCCGGGCCCGCCGCTGCCATGGACGGTCTGCGCCAGCGCTTCGAGCGTTTTCTAGAGCAGAAGAACGTTGCCACCGAAGCGCTCGGAGCGCTCGAAGCCAGGACCGGTGTAGAGAAGCGGTATCTCGCCACGGGTGAGCCTCCTGGAGAGGGGTGCAGGTCATGGGTCCCCGATGGGCACATGAGGTCCTGGATTCCATCCCTGGAAAGGGTGCATGGCCGGGATGGGCATCTTGAAGTTTTGGGTCTCCGACGAGTTATGGGAGGTCCTGGGAACTCAGACCTAGCTGTGGTATCTCTAAAAGGTACTCACATCCCGGGTCCCTGAGGACCTCTACAAGGCTGTAAAGACTCAGACCGGGAAGGAGTGTATTTCTCAGGTCTCCGATTGTCCTGGTGAAAGGCCTCATAAGGTTCTAGGCACCCAGACCTGGATTTAGGGTTCCATCCTGCATGGGAAGGGGTGCACAGCTGGGTCTGCAACAGGAAACCAAGATGTCCTGAGACCCCATCCATGGAAGGGGAACATGTTCTGGTTTCCCCATGAGCCCTGTCGTTATCTGGGGACTCTGAGCTGCCTTATTCTAGATTCTGGAGAAGAGGGACTTTAATTTACCTGCCTCTGCTCCAGAGTCTTTGGAAAAGGCTACCCTAGTGTCTCGAAGCACTCTCCAGTGCAGCCTGCGTGCCAGGTCCCAAGTCCCTCCAAGTCTGGTTTTTCCAGTGGTCAACTGGCCCCTATGTGGGTGGAGAAACAAGAATCACCCCTACTCAATCCTCTATGCGTTCCCAGCCCCTTCTTGAATGTTCTCATGGAGAAATGATCCCATACATCTCTGGAACACGAAGACTGACCCAGCACCCCCTCTTTGCCCCAACACAATACCTTTGAGTCAATATTTGTTGAGCTGAGGTACCAGCTGGGATCTGGGGGATGGGGAGTCTGAGGGAGGGACCGTCCAAGCATCCCAATTATAGGTCCGTTCTATTTCCAGGTCCTTTGTGCAGGTGTGGTAAGGGCCCCTGTGTGTCTTCCCAAAGTGATTTTCGTGTGCTCCCTTTGTGTGTCTTTAGAATCCCACAGCCTGAATCACACGACCCTGGGGGTCTGTGTGAAGGGCTGTGTCACAGGTAATGAAGTGCCTTCTCCAGACAGACAGATCCCAGGAGTTCTGTGTGCTCTCACTTCCCCACCAGCTAGAGGGTGGGCCCCGCACCCCAGAGTGTGTACCCTGCACCCCAGAGTGTGTGCCCCGCACCCCAGTGTGTGTGGGACCTGATGGCTGTGCAGGTCTCAGGTACAGGCTGTGACCTCTGTTCTGGCTTTTCACATCATTAGGGAAATTGCATCACAGTACCCTGGGAGGGGGTGGCCAAGAGGGCAACAGCTTGGGTGGCATCAGGAAGGAAACTGAGGCACAGTTGTCCATCACCTCCACATCCCACACCCTCTGCCACCGCCTCCTCTCCCTGCCCTATAGGCTTGGTTCCACGGTTATCTTCCTCCTGCTGAGGTTGCAGTTAAAGAGATTGAGGGGACCAGTACACTGGGACAGTCCTTCCCCCACCAATGCTGGAGACAGGGTGATGTCCCTCTCCTGCTTCAGGACCCTTAGCTAAATAGAGAGAAATCTTAGGTTTCAACTGCCCCAAATGGCCATCCTGTGCCCCCAGGCACTAAATAAAGCAGGCCTTTGGACTCAGGGCAGTGATGGGAAGGTCACCCTGGTCAGCTGGGGCTCCCCTCCTGTCAGTCTCAGATCCCAGGATAAGACCCAGAGCAGGTGGAAGGAGGGGCAGGGACTCTCTGACCTTAGACCCAGAAGCCTGTGTCCCAGCAGATAACAGGCTGGGGGAGGAAGGAGGAGACAGCTCAGTCTCAGCTACCCTGAGGGCAAAGGTCCCTTCCACCCACTCCAGCTCAGCCCCGCCTCCGTCCTTCACTGGACTAGATTAGACCCCAGGTCCCCCCAAGCACTTTTTCACGTGGCCCTTTCTACAGCAAGTGTACAGTGGCAATGGCGTGTGGGAGCCCAGGCTCTTCATTGCTGAAAATGTCTTAGTGGCCAAAAGAAGGTTCCCTACAGTGTGGCCAGGGAGTCAGCGCCAGCTGTACCTGCACGTGGACGATCCAGCCTTGTGCAGAGACCTGGTCAGGTGAAACTGTAGAACAAGGAACCTTGCTTGTTTGGGGGATTTCTAGTGCGTGCGCACAAGAAAGAGAGGCACACAGAGACAGACAGACAGACAGACAGACAGACAGACAGACACACACACACACACACAGAGTTTTCTCCTTCCATCCCATTGTTCCAACAATCAGATTAGGTGTCCCTGATTACTTGGCAGGTGCCTTTACCTGCTGAGCCCTCTTGCTGGCCACTCTCCATTTGCTCTGGAGATGGTGAGTTCGCTGAACATTGATTGTCAGATGACATTCAAGGAGCCTTTCGTCTGTGCTGTCCTCCGCCAAGTGCTGGGGTGACCTATGCACTGCAGCGAGACCATTTTTTTTTCCCCTGCCACAGAGTTTAAACTGATTTTTTGTTTGTTTGTTTGTTTGTTGTTTTTTTTTTTTTGCAGTGAGACCATTTTTGTCTTGTTGGTATGCGCTGCGGTCCAAAATCAAGCCATAATGCTTGCACAGAAAGCATTTTACCCACCGCATTACCCCAAACCTTTTTAGGTAGTGGGATCTGAGACGTGGCCTCTCATAGCCCAGGCTGGCACTGACCTCACTAGTAGCCAAGGATGACCTTGTATACTCTATCATCCCAGCATTCCTGAGGCTGAGATAGGAGGAGCCAGAGTTCAAAGCCAGCCTGGGCTACAAAACTAGCAGGCATTCTCAAAAAACAAACAAAAAAAGCAAAAACTTAGCCAACATGGCAGAGTGCGCTTTTCATCCCAGTGCTGAGGTAGAAGCAGGCCGTTCTCCATGAGTTTGAGGTCAGCCAGGGTTGCAGCATGAGACCCTGGCTCAAAGAAGAAGAAAAAATCAAAACTGAGTCTTAGCAGGGAGCTGAACAAGGTCCCTGCCCGCTCTGGGGCACTCCCCATGAGGGAGGTGCAGCAGACATGGGACTGAGGGTGCACTGCCCAGAGTGTCCCCAGGGAGGAGGGGCAGGCTGCATCAGAAGCATTGCTGGCCACACTTGTCTCCTCAGGAGCTCTCGCACTTCTAAGCCTGTATCTTCTGTTCGGCTACGGGGCCTCTCTACTGTGCAATGTCATCGGATTTGTATACCCCGCATATGCTTCGTGAGTGCAGCAGGCAGTCCGCGGGTGGGGGTCTCTGGGGGCTCCTCAGGAGCACCAAAGCAGACATGTGCATTCCCATCTGAGCAGAGTCAAAGCCATCGAGAGCCCAGCCAAGGAAGACGATACTGTGTGGCTAACCTACTGGGTGGTGTACGCCCTGTTCGGCCTGGTCGAGTTCTTCAGCGATCTACTCCTGTTCTGGTTCCCTTTCTACTACGCGGGCAAGGTGGGCAGGCCGTCAGCCCTGACAGGGACCAGCAAAGGAGCGGGACAGGGCCCTGTGTGACAGTGTGGTGTGTCTCCATGTGGGCTAGGGCCCTGTATGTGACAGTGTGGTGTGTCCCATGTGGGCTAGGGCCCTGTGTGTGACAGTGTGGTGTGTCTCCATGTGGGGCAGGGCCCTGTGTG